CCCCCTCCCCCCTCCCCCCCACACTCTCACACACACATGCATGCACTTAAAAACTTCCCATCAGGGAAATGTATGTGTTACATGTGTAAAGTAGTATGATTTACATTTTTTAAAAAAGGAGGGGCATTGACAATTTATCCCAGCAGTTATGCAAATTATTGTAAGATGTATTAAAAAATCTTCATATATTATGAGATGTTTAAACGGAGACAACATTTTCCGTGATTTTTTAAAAGCCCTGGGAGTCTTTTTTTTTTTTTGGGGGGGCTTCAATTCAGTTTTTGACTCCTGGGGACCGCCCAGGCAAGTCCCTGCAGTTTTCTCGGCAAGATTTCAGAAGGGGTTTGCCATTGCCTCCTTCCTAGGGCTGAGCCAGAGGGACTGGCTCAAGGTCACCCAGCTGGCTTCGTGCCTAAGGCGGAACAAGAACTCACAGTCTCCCACTTTCTAGCCCAGTGCCTTAACCACTACACCAAACTGGCTCTCATGTAGAACATCTTCATATGTTATTAGATGTTATAAAGATAAATGGGGACAACATTTTCCATGATTCTGTTTAAAAGCCTGAGGGGTCTGAGGTGGGAGTGGGGAATGGTTTAGTGTCTGCATTACTAGAATTCCATTCCTGTAGACAGGATTTTTAGCACTTTGCCCTTCCCTATACTTAATGCTAATTATATTTAATTTTCACCTTGCTCTGATCAATTGGTAGCGCTCTGGCTATAGCTTGAGGGTATTTGAAGAGCTTCAGCTGGTGTTAAATATTTGGAAATCCAGCAGTTTTTCCAGCTTCTTTCTGCAAGCACTGACTAGCAAGATAATCAGAAACACATTTCTCTTCAAGCATAGTTGACCATTCTCCAGCTCCTCTTGAGCTTTCTCTCTCTCTCTCTCTCTCTCTCTTCCCCCCCCCCATTTAAGCTCCTCTCATCTTGTGGGAAGAATGGCACAAAGCACATTTGAGTTGAGTTAGTTCCAGCATTAACCTGAGGCACATGGGGTCTAGCCTCAAACAGCTAGATGCCAAATTGCCCTCGTTGTCAAATGGTTAAGACAATGTGAGTTATTCTTGAAGTCACTGCATTGATGAGCAATCAGCATTGGTGAAGCAGTTTGTAAAGGCTGTCGTCTGAATTTTTCCAGCATCATCACATGGTTGCTCAGGGCTAAGCTTTATTAAATTAACCAAGGTTAATTGATCTAGTTAAATTAAGCAGGGTGTTATACCCTTGCTATCCTATTCTATATTACAAACAAGAGTCTTCTTTTCGAGCTGAATGCTAAATACTGCCCCAGAAAATCCCAAAAGCTGCAACTAAACCCAGTTTGCTTAGCTGGCATACAATTTGGCTTGCTCTTCACCAGAATTTCAGAAAATATCAACAAAAGGAAGGATGGGATGAGAAGCATCTGTCTATTAATGGACTGAATTTTATATAAAATGGTATATTATCTATACTATTTAATGTGGAACCTAACAAATGAATATTGACTTGCCTTGATTACCAGTTACAAGCTTTTGCTTATATTCTTTAGTTCATATAATATAGCTATTATTTTTAATTATATTACCAATAACATATAATGGTATCATTGTTGAGATGTATTATCCTGCCCATTTAGCTTAGCTTAGTACAATGCAATCTTTGTTGTGCTCAGTGATCCATACACAATAAGATATAAAAGGATATGAGAACAAATAAATATAGAACAATCAGGGATACGGTATTTGACGTGTCTTAACTGCTGCTGCAGGAAATTTGCCCATAGTGTTGTCATTAGAATCAGAAAGTAAACATGTTGTATACCAAAGAGCTGTCTGTCCAGAATTTTGTTGCAAGATAGGTGAAATGAGTGAGTTCCTTAGAGCCCCATAAAAGTTATAGTACAACAGTATATGAATTGTGGTTTTGATTTCTCTTGAACTGCATGGACAAGTTTGTTTAAATAAAGCGGGGGGGTATTGAGTATCCTGCAAGAGAGCGGATAGCAAGATGCTATACCATGCCCAAAAGAAGTCCTTCAACCTAGGGAAAGTGAGAGATGTTAGATATTTGGTCAGTATACAGGTCCCCTTGGAATCCAGGTTCTGCCATTCTATGGAATCCATCTGGCCTCCAGTTGGTGCTCATATCCTTTATCCTCTGAAGGAATAGGTGTCTGGCCTTATTGCAATCCAAAGGAAGAAGGTACTCAGCTGAAAGACCATGGGAAGCTAGTTTGGATTCTATAAGACCACTCCAACTTGATTTAAAGTTTCTCTGTCAATACAAGGGGTAAAAGACCGGTTGGGAAAAATGAAGGTTTTAACCAGTAGCTAGTCATCAGGCTCCGAGCCAATATCTCAATTTTTGGGCATCTCTATCTCAAGTCTGAGAATAATATTGGATACACATCTTGGGGTGGCCAAAATTGCTCTGAAGAACTTTGATCGCAGCCCTTCCATTGTGTTTTTTATGCTGTAGATGCCCGTTTCTGCTCTATATACAATCTGAGCTAATGTTTTAGCTTTGAAAAGCTTGAGGGAAGGAGAAACTGGCTCCCTCCATTGGTGAAAAAAAGTAGCTTGATCATGGCAGGTGATCATGGTGCTGCCTGAAAAATGTAATTATGATGTGCTTTCCGTGAATCCTTGTTATGAAAAACCACTCCTAGATATTTCAAGATACGGACTTGCTCAATCTTGTTAACCTCTATGATCCAGGTTCTTGATTTAGTTCTTTTTCCAACACCCCCATATTTTTTGATATATTATGATTAACTGTAAGGTGGTTTTGCTTGCTGCAGAGGATAATAGCTGTCATTGCTTTTTTGAGTCCAGCTGGGATCTGGGAATTAGTTATTTAGTGTGCATCTGTGTAAGTCAACCATGTTCCTCTTGCATGTACTCTTGAAAGCTGACTTAAAAATGGAACTGGCTCAAGACAAATTATCTTTGTATCCAAAAAGTGATTTGCAAAAGTCCCATAATCTAGCTATTATGCTATTATTGCACAAGTATATATGGCAAACCAATGTCTCCTGATTAAGACCAGGGCTGTGTAGCATTGGAAAGTGATTCCTATTCCTACTCTTAGGTTACTCTTCATTTTACATTTTCCCTCCTGCAGGTTTTCTCAGGCAATGCAGACAAATATAGTCCTGTGACCAATATGTTTAATCCTCCAGTTACCGCCCAGTATTTTCGTATCTACCCTGTGATCTGTTACCGAGCCTGCACTGCGCGGTTTGAACTGATTGGCTGTGAAATGAATGGTAAATGCTTTTCGTGGGTCTAATGATGTTGGATGGAGGCACACATTCTTGCATGGATAATTGGGCAACTGGGCACTGGTGTCTTCATTTAGGCTTCTTTGTGCACGAGGTCCTTTTTCTTAAATGGGGGGTCAGCAAAGGAAAGCCAAAGGGCTAACAGAAGGCTGTGGAAACACCTGGAGAGGTTCTGTGGAATTGAAACCTTCCTGGTGGGTGACCTCTGCTTTCGAATATTAGGTCTATTGTTCTGACACCTACAGCATGTGGGGCAATTGCCAGCTTGGTGTATTAAAAAAATTAAAACCGTGGTTGGCCAGTTTAAATTCTCCCTCTAGAAAGGCAGATTTTTTGCAAGCTGTATAAATGATGTCAATGAGCAATCAGCCTTTTTGCATAACTTGGGGCTCTGGTCCAAAATATAGGGAAGCTAAGCAAAGGCTAGAATGATGGAATGGACGGCCTTGACTTCTGACTCTTTTTAATTAGGTGGTGACATGCTGATGCAAATAGGGGATGCTAATGGACCACCACAGTCTTTTCTTTAGGTGGCAAGTCTTCTATATTTGCCATGGCTCATCGTTTGAAATGGGTACCTTCAGCTGGAGAATGGGACTTGCCAGGATGGCTGAGTAAAATTAGGCTTCTGTTAACTTGCCTTATGGTCCTGGGAGTCTTCCTTGCTAGCTGTGAGGTCTCCATATTCCAGCTTATGGGTCCTTGGTCTCTTTCTCATTGACTGTTTCCAGATGGACAGCTCCTAAGCATTATCGATAAGACACCATGAAGTTGTCCCAATCCCATCTCTTTGTCTTTCTATCTTTATCTAGGTAGAAAATAGAGATGTGTAGAAGACTTCATTTCGAACTATTTTGAGTGCAAAACTTGGTGATACATCCTGTGTCAAGGCCATTCCCAAATGCCTGAGACAGGCTATTTTGCACTTGAAATAGTTACACACTCAGAATGGCTTGAATTGAAACATTTTGCATGCCTTTAGTAGAAAGGGAAAAAAAAAATGAAATTAGCAGGAAAATACAGAAGGATGACAAATGGAAGACAATACCATCTGGGCTACAAATGGCAGATTCTTGTAAATCTGTCAAATTTGATTGGTTGCACTTGATTTCATTTAAGTTTGCTCTGAAATGCGCACATCTTTTGATGCACATTTCTCCAAATGTATGCACTTTTGTCTGCAGTTAATACTATTTTTGCAATTACCTTGCATTTCTATATATTCAGAGAAATAGGTCTTTTGTACAGCCTTTTTCCCAGTGCACATCTTTTTAAAATGATGAGCTGTGTTGCCACATTCAGAGGAGTGCCCCTGTCAACGCTAACTAATCTTGTAGTTTGGAGATGTGTTTGAAAATGCAAAAATTAAATACCCCTTCCAACGTAAGTGACAGTTGATGCAAAATTAGGTAAATCCTCATCAATCTGGACCCCTGTTAAATTCTGGCAGGACTGTTGCTCCATAAATTATAAATGCTAATTGGGAAGCATCCTTTGTCTGCATCAGTAATCACAATGACAGCTTCTGGTGGTGGCTGCTGCCTGGATTTCTGCTGTTGCTTTAACGAATGTTCTTCCTCTTGGGGGACTTTTGGGGCATCTCCTTAAAGGCACCATCTTTGGGAGAGTCTTATTCCTTCTGAACTCTTGCCTTTCACCGTGTCTATAAATCATTGTGTTACAGTGTATTTCAACATGGCAGGTTGCTCGGATCCACTGGGCATGAAGTCCCATCTCATCTCTGACCAGCAGATCACAGCCTCCAGTGTGTACAAGACCTGGGGCATGGATGCGATGGCTTGGCACCCCTACTATGCTCGCCTGGATAAGAGTGGGAAAACCAATGCCTGGGCAGCCCTCACCAACAAGCAAGGCGAGTGGCTTCAGGTATGTCCTTGCCAGATGCAGAAGAAGAAGGGGACAGAAGCTGGTGTGAGAAGAAACTGTTTCAACTGGAATCTGTGGGGTGGGGTGATAAAGGTGGTCCTTGTAATCATCCAGCATCCTTACATCATTTATAGTAGAAAGAAGAACTTAGTAAGTAAGACTTTATTACAGTCGTAGATCAGCATATCCACATGAGCAAGACAAGATTTTTTAAAAAAAAATAGCGTACCCAACTTTGGCTGATCTTGAAAAAGCTAAGCAGAGTTGACCATGGTTAGTATGTGGATGAGAGGCCACCAGGGATGTAGGTTGGATTGGGAACTTTAAAACATTCCTGGAGGAAGGAAGAGGCAAACTGCTTCCATTCTGTATTGTTGCCAGGAAAATAGCATGGATGTGTCCATGTGATCACCTGGCAGAAAACTGAATTCCAGGAAGACTTTGCCTTTCACTCATGCTATCCTGGTTAAAAGTTACGACTTTTGCCTCTGCATAACTTTCGGGAAGGTAATATGGGTGGTGAGGGGGAAGAGGGGGCTAGTTGCCTGAACCCTGAAGAAACTTTATGTAATTTTTGATGTACAGAGACTGAATAGTATTTTAAAAATAGCAAGTTTATCCTTCCACTTAGAAAAATAGCTTACTGGAAATCAGAATGGTTTACTTTGTCAGTTCAGGATTTGATATATTTTTCAGTATGTGTCCTGGCTCCTGCTCCTGCTAAGAAAACAATTTTCCTCTCCTCCTCAAAAAATTCACCAGTGTGATTCCCTATTTATGAATAGCTTGTGTCTCATCCTATCTGTTGGGAGTACTGTTGCTTTTTAAAAAAATAAATGAATTTGTTGGATACCTACCCTATGTGCAGATGCAAATAAGCAAATCTAATGGCTCAAGGTGAGAATGTTTGCAAATGTTGTAGTGAGAAAAGGACTTTAAAGATATGCCAATTTGCTTGAATTTGTGTACTTTTCCTGACCATCAGTATTTAATTTGAGTCTTAAAATAACAGTTTGATCTTGGGGTCAGGATGAACGATGCCTTTCACATTTGGCAGTTTCTTGATAGATTTAAAATACCTTCCCCATCCTTCCGACCCCACTCTTGATCCAAACTGATTCTATTTATTCCTAGAATCAATGAATAAAAGCTGGTTATTCCCAGCAGGGTTCCAATTATTATTTTGAAGTTTTTCAGGGCCTCTCTTCATTTCAAAGAATCCTGAGTTTGCAAAGCTTAAAACCTTAGAATGAAAGGAAAGAGAGATGGGAGAGAAGCGAAAAGATGGCAAGCTCAGTTTGCATCAGGTTTTTTGTCAGTTTTTAACCCGCAATATTGCTCCTTGTCCAAAAGGCCCCTTGGATACAGGTTAGGTTGTAAAAGGTTCCCCGCTGAGAATAGCTTGCTTGAAGCTCAGTAGCTCTTGCTCCCTTATACTCTTCTAATGCTCCCATCCCACTTTTGTATCTCTTTTATACATCATCATCCTCTTAATAATAAAATAAAATAAAATTATATTTGTATACTGCCCAACAAACAATGACTCTAGGCAGTTTTACTTTCTATGTCTCATATATTCCTAGTTAGTTTTTTACTTTTTACACTTTGTATGGCTTTTATATAGACCTCCTTTAAATTCTCATTTTTTATGTCTTTTATACCTTCTATGGCATATCTATATCTATATTTGTCTATCTATCATATATGTATATATACACACAAACATGAGTCATAGACTTTATATGCATATAAAACTCTGTGTACAGTATGTGTGTATGTCTGTATATAAAACTATATATACAGTATAGAGTGTATATATATATACACATGCACACTTTATACAGCTCTTATATACAACTTTTTACTTATTATATCTTATGTTTCTTCATGATGACTGTACCTCATCCTCTGATGCTGATCTATAGCTGTAAGAAAGATTGATGTGATTCAATCAGTAGCTTTTACTTCTACCAGTGGAGCTCTTGTGCTTGCCTTTGCAGATTGATCTTCAGAGACAGAAAAAAGTGACTGGGGTTATTACGCAGGGAGCACGAGATTTTGGGCACATTCAGTATGTAGCAGCCTACAAAGTGGCCTACAGCGATGATGGGAAATCGTGGACTCTCTACAAGGACAGCAGGACAAACATCACCAAGGTAGAATTGAGCAAAATCTTTTTATAGGGTTGGGGGTCAGTGCAGGGTCTGAAAACCATTGGCATTCTGTACAAGTGATCACTGGTGAGTTGTAACTTTTCAGAATGTGGGGTAACGTTACGCAGTTGCAGACTATCTCTTGCTTAGCGTAACTTCCTCCAGCTTTACCTCGGTTTTATTAATTTAAAAGGTTTGTAGTCCACCTCAAATGATTTTCAACAGAGGTTACAGTAGTGCCAGGTTTTAACGTTCATTCATTCAACTGTTCAACCATTCAACTTTTCTTTCTTTCTTTCTTTCTTTCTTTCTTTCTTTCTTTCTTTCTTTCTTTCTTTCTTTCTTTCTTT